ATATATATATATATATATATATATATATACATTATTCATTTTAATTACATTATTTTTAGAATTATTAGTTTTTTATTTACAATATATCCTAATGTATATTTTCTCTAATGAACTCTTTTAAACAGTTTAGTAGTGTGTTAGCAATATTCTATTTATGAAAGTTTCCTATTATCCGAAAAATGAGAGTATTTTTCGTAGAACAATACTTACTGAACCATAAATATTTTATTTTATGTGAAACAGGTTAGATGACATAATATATAAAAAAGTTTTCCCATTAAAGTCACTGAAGATAACAACACAAATATACAATACATTCTCAACTAAATATTGAAAATTAAGGATATTACTCAGAAAAAAGAATTTAAAAATCTTTTATTCTTACTCTTGAGAATATATATTGATAACAGTTATACCCTTCGGTCTTACTAACCTGTACCGCTCGGTTGTATTGATTCAGCTCACAAGTCACTTGACCGATCGTTCCATCTTGTGCTGATTCTCTACACCGTTTGGTCTAGCTTACGTGAACCGATCAGTTGTATTGATTCAGTGTACAAGTCAATGTACTATGCTCGATCTCTCTTACCTAGACCGTTCGGTTTACTGTTTGACCTGTTTTTTCTGTTATTCTGTTACTGTCTCATTCTCTATATATTTTTTCTCTTGTACCGCTTTGATACATCAATAAACTTCTCTTCTTTCTCTGCCACCTTTTCTCTGGCTTCTCTCTTCTCTTTCCTCTTCCCTTTTAGCCTTTTCTTTTCATTACTGTATTGAAAATCTATGATGGTATCGGAAGAAATTTCTGCTGCTCTCTGATTTCTCCACCACTGTTCTTGTTTCTTTTCCCTGTAATGGCTACCACTGACACACATCCACCTATCTCTGACCCTACACATTCATATCTTTATCTTCATCCAAATGAAAACCCAACCATATCCCTCGTTTCTCCCGTTCTCAACACCGCAAACTATCATTCATGGAGCAAATCTTTTGTCATAGCTCTTTATGCAAAGAACAAGGTAGAATTCGTTCTTGGATCAGCCCCTCAACCCGCCAAGACTGATGCTTCGTTTTCGGCCTGGTTTTGGTGCAATAGCATGGTAGTTTCCTACCTCTTGCATTCTGTCTCTACTAACATTCGTGAAAGCATTATTTGGATGGATCACGCTCTCGATATATGGAATGATCTGAAGAACTGCTTTGCTCAAGGTGATCTTGCCAGGATGTCCACTCTACAACTGTAAGCTGCTACATTGTCCCAAGGCAAGTTTTCTGTTACAGAATTTTTCACGAAACTCAGAGTTCTCTGGGATGATAGCTTCCACCCAGATCCTGTCTATACTTGTAAGCCCAAATGTTCTTGTGCAGTTTCTTCAATTTTTTCCCAGCGAAAACATGAAGATTGTGCCATGCAGCTTTTACGAGGTTTAAATGATCACTACACTAATATATAATCTCATGTTCTTCTTCTTGACCCTATTCCTCCCATTTCAATTTTTTTTCTCTTGTTATTCAACAAGAACGCCAATTAATGACTGATCATATTACTGCATCTGTTAAAGCTAGTTCTTTGTCTAATTTATCTTCTTCAACGAATGCTTCTGCTTCTGTCACTTGCACCTATTGCAATCGGGTCAGCCACCAAGAAAATACATGTTTTAAAAAACATGGTTTCCCCAGTCATGATAACCGGAGTGTCAAAATCACAAATAACAACACTCGTAAGGTCTGCACATATTGTCACAAAACTGGACATACCATAGATGTTTGCTTCAAGAAACATGATTATCCTCCTGGCCACAAGCTTTTCAACAACAAACCCGGCCAAATTCACAATGTTATTTCATCTTCTTATGCTGATAGTCAACTGAACCATCTTCTACCGAACGAATTGGACCAAGAACGCCCTTCTGCCGAGACCGTTCAACTCACGCCTCAACAATATCAAGTTCTTGCTCAGTTGTTCAAACAATCTGAGTCCAACATTTTTAATGTGCACATTAACCAAGTTGGAACAGTTTCTACAAATACTTCTCCAGGTAATATTGTTTCGATTTTTCAAGTGCACTCTGGTAATATCTGGCTACTTGATTTTGGTACCACTGATCACATTTTTATTTCCTTAAAATCTTTTACTTCTTATCAAAAGATTACTCCCATTCCAATAATTTTACCTAATGGCAAAATCATACATGCTCATTACAAGGGTACCGTTCGGTTAAACACTAAAATCAATCTTTCTAATGTGTTATATGCTCCTGATTTTTCATTCAATCTTATCTCTGTTTCACAACTTATAGCAAAACTAAACTGTCAATTAATATTTTCCCCTTCTGGCTGCATTGTACAGGACATGCAAACTCAAGAGAAGATTGGTTTGATTAGACATCACAATGGCTTATATCTCTTTGACTCATCTGCTTGTACAAATAACACTAATTGTAGTCCTGTAATTTGTTCTATTCAGCATCCAAATTTATGGCATGCTCGTCTTGGACATCTATCACATGCTAGGTTACAGTTTTTACAAACCAAACATGCTTACATAAAAAATGATGATACTCAAATTCCTTGTGATGCGTGCCATCGGGCCAAACAAAAGAAACTTCCTTATACTGCTAGCACATCTCATTCACTAAGTTCTTTTGATTTATTGCACATTGACATATGGGTACCCAGTACTGCTTCTATGAATGGTTTTAAATACCTGCTAACCATCATTGATGATTTTTCTCGTTATACTTGGATTGTACCTATGTTAGATAAATC